TTAGCGATAGCCAATGGCGAAGCGCGAACGGTGCAAGTGAGTGAGTTTAAGTTAGTTGCGTTGCGACCGACACGTGTCAAATTTTCTATTTCAACTGTTTACATTTCGTCATCGTCATTCGTCATTGCGTGTTTTGTTGGTGTTGTGGTTTGTTTTTGTTATCCACTCCCGGAATTTAGAAAGAAAATAGACAAATTGGTAAGTAAATGATTTTAAATTACACTGGTCATCAAAAAAATCGACCCACCCCCCTTTGCACTATTGCTCTTGATAATTTCAAAGATAAGCGTTTAGAAGTACGTTTTGTTTATGTCTAGGGTCGGATTAGATGTTTGACATTTGATTCCCATAAATCTTAACGCACATGAGGGTACTTAATAAAAATTTAAAAGTAAACACTGCTCAGTGCCGTTTTGATGAATGCATCCGTATTCACTTTGGCCCTGTTTAATTCACAACCAGGTGTTTATAACAGTGTCGGAATCGGCCTAAGTTGTGGCTTTGCTGCGAGAGGGATTCAGTCAACGTGTTGTCGCTCGAAGATTACATCTCAGTCGATCTGCGGTTCGGAGAGTTTACCAGAGGTTTCAAGAGACTGGGCAGTACCGTAGAAGAACAGGATCTGGAAGACAAAGGGTCACCACTCAAAGAGATGACCGGTTTATTGTGACATCGGCTCTAAGAAATCGGCACCTTTCTGGCGTAGATCTCCAGCGACGGCTGCGTGAAATGCGGGGTGTGGCTATAAGTGACAGTACGGTGAGAAGAAGTCTTCGTGAACAGAACTTAAGACCCCACAAACCAGCAACAGGACCACAACTGACCGTAGCTCATCGTCAAGCCAGACTTTAATTTGCGAGGGAACATCTTGAATGGACTATAGACCAATGGGCTTCAGTTCTATTCTGTGATGAGAGTCGAATGACTTTATACGGCTCTGATGGGCGCCGCAATGTCATGAGAAGGCCACGTGAACGTTACGCTTAGTCCTGTATAAGAGAAACTGTCAGTTATGGTGGAGGCTCTATAATGTTTTGGGGCGGGATATCTTTGACAGCACGTACAGAGCTGGAGTTTATCAGAAGGGGTTCTCTTACTGCTCCACGTTACATAACGGAGATCCTAGAAGATCATGTCGTGCCGTATGCAGGCTACATCGGAGAAAACTTCGTGTTTATGCATGATAATGCACGGCCACACGTAGCGCGCATTGTTACTCAGTACTTGGAAGAGGTCGGCATTCGGGTTATGCAGTGGCCAGCAAGAAGTCCGGATTTAAATCCTATAGAACACATGTGGGACACGCTAAAACAGAAGGTTAGAGCTCGAGAACCCGCCCCTACAACCTTTGAAGCGTTGGAAACCGCCATAAGGGAAGAATGGGACCGAATTCCTCAAGTAACCATCGCCGTTTTAATAAGATCAATGAAACGGCGAATGCAGGCAGTGATTAGAGCAAGAAGGGGGAACACCGAATATTAACGTAGAAGTTTTGTTCCAATAACGTATAAGACTAAAAAGTTACAAAGTGTTCAACACTGTCACGGTTTATTTAGGATTGCACTAAATAAAACGACAAATTAAGATTACTATACAGTATACTACAAGAAAATAAGTTATTTATACAAAGACCAGGGTCGTAGGTAGGTTGGAGGTTGGAGCCAGAGAATTCACCGGAGCGGCACCCCCCTGTTAGGTGCAGCGTCTAGGTCCCAGCTACAAGGCTACGTTCCCGAACACGTCTTGACAGTCTGATCTTCGTCGACCTCCGTCAGCCCTCAACTAGTGGTTTTCACGGATCAAGACACCCGTACGTAGTTCCTGAAGTGTTTAAGTGCCAATATAAGCACAAGAAAAAGCGAAGTCCGATTCTGCCACTATTTGAAAATATAACGGTTCATCGTAGGCGAAGCCGGGAAATCTAAGCTAGCACGTAAACGGGGTAATATGCCTTCTAAATTATTCTGGGGTATAGTGGCAGTTATCAAAGATCAGAATCGGTTACAAATAAGTGAATGGCATTTTAATAAGAAATATATTTTTTATTATCGCTAAACAATATCTATGTACTTGTTTATCAAACATAGCAACAAATCTAAGTCGGTTAAATAATATGACCAAAAACATCGTATACTGCAAATCAACTACATATGAGTACAAACAAAATGGATAATAACGGTTACTTAACTAAATATTATAAAAGCAATTAAAGCACTATTACATATTTGCGTTTAACTACATTCTGTGACTATATTTGCTCAACTTACCCAGTATGGCATGCACCAGCACTAATTATTATGAAAATCAAAACTTCACAATAAAAGATAAATAAAAACGTTAGAAATTGCAACAAGGAAGAATGACTTGCAACTCAATTTTTAGCTTCCAATGACACAGCCGTTCGTAATAGTTCGTATCAACAATTGTCTCTCGACGCGAGCTCCCCCCCGGGCGCATTCCTCCCGCGAACGCCTTCTGCGAGGTCTTGTTTACAAAGCACGCTTTGACGCAACGCATTAGATTGAATATACAGTGTTCGAACATTTACAAAGCAATTAATGAACGTTACAACATGAACATTAAAATAGGGTTAAAATGGCGATTTCTTTATTTTTTGTTAAAATGTTAAATTTTGATCTTTAAGTACAAAAATTTTGTGACTAATTAAAAAAAATGACGTTGTTTAGTGAACAATTACAATTATAATACAATTTGTTTCATTCAAAATATTAAAACATGAGTTTTTCTGTAAAATGTAGGTGGCCCGATTTTTGTGATGACCAGTGTATTATATTGCATGTCGTGAAAGTATGAAGTTTTTAATTATTTTTGAAAAGAGCTGTTTGTGGAGAGAGAAATTAATAACTAAGATAGAAATTACGATATAAATGAACGTTTAATTAAAGGTTTCTACCGCAATTGTTTTCGACTTATTTTTATAGCTTTGCCCTTTGAGTGACAATAATACTTAGTTTTGCTTTTGTTGAACAGTCATAGTGTATGAATTTTCAAACTAGCTGTGTCCACGACTTCATCCGCGTGTAATATCGGGATATATTTATCCCATATACATCGGAATAAAAAGTAGACTATGTTCTTTACCAGGTTTCAAACTATCTCCAAATTTCATCCAAATCGGTTCAGTAGTTTAGGCGTGAAAGCGTAACAGACAGACAGACGTAGTTACGTTTGCATTATAATATAATAAGTATGGATTTATTTCATGTTATTTTTATGTTTTGAATCAATGTGTTTTATGCAGGGTTCAAGTTCAGCGATTTATTTGTTGTAAGTGCAATTTGATATGTTCTTTACTGGTTGTTATTAGTATAAAGCGATGGTAGAATTGGCAGATCAAGACAAAATTCTATATGAAACGAAAGCACAGAAAATAGTCACAAACAGAAACATCAGTATGGAGTCGTTTTCTTAAAGCTTCAGATAATCTTACTGCTAAATGTATAAGCTGTAATAAAATAATCAAGACATCGGGCGGCTTAACTTCAGGGCTTCATACTGATTTAAAAACAGCACATTCTATAGTTTTAAAACATAATATTGATGCTAATAGTCAGCATCAGCTGGCAACGACTTCTACGACAAATACATCATTTTTTGCCACTGCTACGGAAGATGAAACACCAAAAAAGAGGAACAAATTAACTGATTATTTTACAAGTTTCAATAGCTTACCAGAAACGCTTTCTCGTATGACGTCTGTAAATGGGTTACCTTGTAGGTTTTTTATTACTTCAAATGACCAAAGACGAGTCATGGCGCAATCTGGCAAATTGCCTACATCTTCAAATTCGATAAAAAATATGGTGATGAAGCACGGTGAAACTATAAAATTGTCTATAATAAACAAGCTTCGGAAACTAAAAAATGACAGAGTTAAGGTCTCGGTGACTCTAGATGAATGGACTAGTACAAGTAATAGACGTTTTATGAATGTCAATGTGCATAGTCCTATGATGAAAAACACTATCGGCGACTGCCATCAATACAATCGAGAAGTAATGTTTGTAGTTCAAAAACATCGATCCACTTTTATTTGGTTTAATTACTCTGATGTGCTTTCCATCTACAGCACCGACACAATGAGGTAAATTAGCAGAAACTTCAAATTTATTTGCAATTTCTATCCAATCGTTCGTTCATACATGGCATTTTCATATATTTTGGGTAAAGTTCAGACCATATTAGAAAACACACTTCTCGTATGATTGATTACGCTTAAAGTTGATTTTCCCATTCTAAAACGATATTCAAGATCGACTCATGAAGTTCCGAGTGCTAAATACCTGCAATTGAAAAAAAATATATAAAAATAAAATGGATTATTAATATTAATTATTTCAGGTAAAAAAATATCTCAGAAATGGAAGAATATAAGAGATACGTGGATGAAATGCGACAAAAAGATACGTGATTCGAAAGCTGGATCAGGTGCAAAACCAGTACATAAATATTAATATTATGATAATTTTCAATTTTTGAAAAAAATTACCCCACGACCACCCCAATCTGGATTAAACATGCTGGAAGAAAAAAAACTGAAGTTACTAAATTTCAACAAAAGAAAGAAAAACGAAGAAATAAATCCTGTAGATAAGAAAATGATTAAGTTTATGGAAACGTTAGAAAAAGATGACGATAGTAGAATGATGTCTTTTTTTAAAGGTGTAGGAACGCTTCAAAGACGAAGACATTGTTGAATTCCAGTATCAAGTATTGAATATTATAAAAAATATTCAATATAAAAATACTTATAGCGCTCCACATCATTCACGCACAGCAGATGCAATGGACACCCCGGCACACTACGGTTACAATACTGCCAATTACCCAGTACGAGATTTCAATCACAGGCTTCGAATTATAGCATGGAAAACTATTCATTACAAAGCATCCCAAGTCCATCTACTTCAAGCTTGATTGATTTTGATTTCTCTACATTACATTACAATAATTAAATAAATATATATATGTTACTTTACCTCAATGTAACCACCAATCTCTCCTTAGCAGATATTCTTGCTCGCATATTTGTATTTGTGTGTTGCAATTTGTTCTTTAATAAATCTAAAGCCACGTTTTCACTAGGGGACATTTGTTCCGCGACCTTGTCGCCCGACACACAATTTACGTGACCTGCGAGATGTCGCCCGACGTCTCTTGCGACATTCACGGGTTGCGGGACTTGTCGCATGATTTGAGTAGTGAGGACGCGTGTCGCTTTGTGTTCTGAAAATGGCAGTAGTGTGGACCAACGAGAATACATTGACCCTCATCGAGTTGTAACCATAATTCGCAATTATTGTAAGATACTTCACATCGTGATTATAGGAACAAATTAAAAAAAATGATGCATGGGAATCCATTGCGACTACAATGAATATACCTAGAAAAGACGTCGAGGTGATAATACACAACATGCGATCTCAGTTTCTCAGCGAGAGAAAAAAAATTGCGAACACAAAATCTACTGGAAGTGGAAGAGATGTAACAAACTGTGAACGGCATTATAGTGAGAATCGGCCCTAAATCTACCATGACTGATGGAAAATATTTTAAGAAAGTGGTTAAAATAATATCTAATCCGGAAACAATATCAGTTTGTACTACGAACGACACATGTTCTAACTTATGAAATGTATAAGTTTGATCAACATTCAAACAATCTTAATGAAGACTCAGATTCACAGCCAGAAAGTGAAACACATATTTTTAGAAACTATATGCAGAAAGCTGCTTTTTTATCCATATCTAGAGCGCCACAAATGCTAGGTTTACCTAAACAATGCATTTTTGCATGAACTTAATATCTGAAACAACAAAATGTACTCCACGCAATATGATGATCACTTTAAAAAATATGATTATATGAAGCTAATGCCATCCTGGCCTTAGATATTGTTTTGGGAACAAGTACTATCACTAAAATTATAGCTGTTGCAGCTGTCCTTAAATCACTTTTATACTTTCCAAGTTTCCACCTTCATCCGATGTCCAGATGAATCAAGCTATACCATTTAGGAAAAACTACACTCAGGTTCAAAGCATTATCGACTGTTTTGAAATTCAAATTGAAAAGCCCATTGATGTCGTGAAACAAACTCTTACATGGTCTGATAACAGAAGCTGTAATACCATAAAATATTTAATTTCAATAACACCTGATGGGCTTATAAATTTTATTTCTTCAGGTTATGGTAGCAGAGCAAGCGATTCTTTAATTTTTGAAGATTGTGGAATTTTAGAGACTGCCTAAAGTATAGGCCCCCACGTCTATAGTATTAATCGGTAGTTTACTTGCATCCACAGCACAAAAAAATTTTACTTGCTTCAGGTAAGCAAGTTACAATTAAGCCCCGTATTCATGGGAAACATTTGTTGAGCAACAAAGTTGAATCAACATGTTGCGGAGTTGCTGTCAACATGTTGCTGGCAACACTGCGTGTTGCAGAGTTGACAGCATCATGTTGACAAGCTCTCGCCCGACAAGCGTAAACATCAGTTTAGCGACAATTGTTGACGTGTGTGGACGAGTTTGCAACAGTTTATAAACATGGCAGTAGTGTGGAGCAATGATAAAATAATGCAATTAATAGAATTATTTCAATCAAAACCATTATTACGGGATTGTTCTATAAAACAATACAAAGATAGAAACAAAAAGAACGATGCATTCGAAGAAATTTCTCAAGTCCTAAATATACCCAAAAAAGACGTAGAAACTAAAATACATGTACTGCGTACTCAATTTACTAGAGAGAAAAAAAAGATGTCGGCAAAAAAAACTACAGGCAGCGGCGCAATAGAAAAATGTAAATGGATTTATTACGAGCCATTGGAATTTTTGTTATGTGGTGCAACTACTTCTGGTGAAACGGATACTATGAATAAAACAGTAAGTTGTTTTTGTATATAATTGTTTTATACTATTGTCTGTAAAATTATTACAATTACGCTACATTATTTTGCCATGGAACTCTTCCCTCTGGAGTTATAAAGTAATCGGCAAACTGTTCTCTAATACAAAGAGCTGATTGTGATGCAGGCCTGCCCCGTCTTTGCAAATCAATCATAGGAAACGAACTTAGTTCCCTTCGCCAAGAACCTTCTAATAGGTTACCTTCAGAGTCTTCAAAATCAAAAGTTTGTGGAGGTGTATATATGGATCTGGAAACTGAGTTACGTCTTAAGAAGTTATGTAAATATACACAAGCAATTACCACGAGTTCACAATTGGCTGGTTTTAACGGAATAGGTTTAGTGAATACACGGAACACCCCACATAAAATGCCAAAAACATTTTCTATAATCCTCCTAGCTCTTGATAGTCTGTAATTGAATATACGCTTTTTGTTCCCACGTTCATGAATGCCAGGATATGGTTTCATGATGTTCTCCGTTAGCGCGAAAGCACTGTCACCTACAATTACATACGGCATTTCTGTTCCGCCTTGTGTTATTGGTTCAGGCCGTGGCAGTTTAAGTGAGTTTTCTAACAATGCATTATAAAACGGTGTTTCTTGAAATATTCCACTGTCGGACGACCGACCCTTAGCTCCATAATTTGCGTAAATAAAGTTGTAATTGCCATCTGCAATTGCCATAAGTACCATGCTGAACTGATTTTTATAATTGTAGTATTCACTTCCAGAATTATTTGGCGCCACAATCATAACGTGTTTCCCATCAATGGCCCCAATGCAATGTGGAAAATTCCATCGTATTTCGAATTCACGACTTATTTGTTTCCATTCTTGTTCCGAACTTGGAACCTAAAAAATAAATATATAATAAGATAATAATTTACAGGTAGATGAAAACAATGCACTTGAAAGTGGTATGGAGTCAGAGCCATCTCAATCACCAAGGCCGAATGCTACAACATCTACATCTTCGAGGAAAAGAAATAAGACAGATGAATCAAATGAAATATTAGAGGTTTTGAAAAGTGCTAAAAAAAAGATGGATGAAAGGGAGAAGAAGGATCCATTTGATATATATGGTGAATATATTGCTGCTGAATTAAGAAGTGTTAAAGATGACCAAGCCGTGACACAGGCAAAGTACCATATTAATAATATACTGTATGAATTAAAAATGGGACGATATAATACATATGGATATCAAACGGCATCTTCTCATCCATCATCAACACCAAATAATGTTCAGGAAACTGAAATAAGGGAAATTGAGAGACACGAAACAAATAGACTAGATGCATTACGAGACGAAACAGAAGATTTGGCTATACTAAACTTAGTTAACTATCTCAGTGATGAATCAACGCAATAGCATACACTGTTTTTTTTGTGTTTTTTAATTAATAAAATACTTGATTACACAAATAGTGTTCTTGTACCTTGACATATCCTGCTAGTGAGTTAATTAGTTCTTGACATACATCTGGTATAATTTTGCTAATCAATTGTTTTGATACTCTGAATGTGTATGAAAGAGAACTGTATGAATCTCCAGTTGCAAGATACCGTAATGTAATAGCCAGCCTCGTTTGAGGTGAAACTGGCTGACGAATATTTGTTTCCCTTTTGGCTATTGATGGACCAATCATTTCTAGAAGATGTTCGAAATCACTTTTCGACATTCTCGTAAAGTTACAAAATGATCCATCTGTCATTCTGAGGTCACTCATCAAATTTTCTCTTTGCAAAAGATAATTTCGAATCCACCATCTTTTTCTCTTTTTTTTATTAGAGATTCTATACATCTGATACAGAGAACACAACAACACTACCTCCTCGGGCAACATTTTAACGCAGACTGGCGTGTGGACAACCTGTATTGATTTAAACATAGTTGCTAGCAACATTCTCGCCGCTCACCAACAATGTTTAGCAACTGTTGCTAAACAAATGTTTACCATGAATACGGGGCTTTAATCGTTCTTCGGGTGATATTGTGTTGCGAAAGTTCCTGTATTTAGTCAGATCAGGTCGTATAGTATTTAGAATATATTCAAAAGTTTCTCTTTTCAAACGTACATAACCATGGAACAGTATGTGGTCATGATATGTCTTCCATGATAAGATAAAATTCACCAAAAACGTGTTTTTTTAAATATATTTCACGCACCCATTCGGTTCGACGATAGCGACGACGCCACCGCAGTCTTCGAGTTCGAATTGTCATAAAGATACAGATTATTCATCGCGCTCCAACCAAAGCAGACTTCACGAATCCGATATCAATAGAACACTGCTCATTTGACTAATAAAAACGTATTCAGTGTGTTAGATGCGATTGCAGAAAATGAATCTTCAATGACATCTTTCCCATCTGTTGAATATTTTTTTAATAAATCGGTAACAATTTATTTGTAATCTTTTCTTTTTTTCTTTGTTATTAGCACTCGAATTGCCGGGATAAACTGGATGTTGTAGATCTTTCGAATGTAAAATGGGCTTAGTAACAGACGGAACTTCAGCATATATGTATAATATATGCTGAAGACGGAATCACGCTATCACGGTCTTCCGTGATAGCGTGATTCCGTGATCCATTCAAAGAAACCCAGAAATAATAACATAATTTAATCGTATAAAAATGGTGTGGATCTGGTTGATAAGATGTGTTCGCTCTACGATGTCTCCAGGAATTCTAGAAGATGGCCTCTCACATATTTTTTTTTATTTGTTGAACATAGTATACAGCAAATAAAAGTTACGTTACTGTTCGACGTCGACACTTCCTTATTGACTTGGCTCTGGCTTGGCTGAAACCTCTGGCTCACTCAAATGAAAGACTTTCTAGTCATTTCTCAGACCAGTGATCAGCCATCCAACCCAGAACCATCACAGCGGAGTTCTGTTTTGACTGCGGAAGAAAGCGCAATCGAAGTACTCGAAAGACTTGTAATGCGTGCAAGGTTATTTGCCCCGATCATTCCATGATTATCTGTAGGTATCTCCTGTTCAGAAAAAAATAAATAAGTGCAAAAGTATGTACTTTTCTTAACTGTTTAACGAAGCCAAATTTGTTATTTTCTTGATAAAAAATATGTTTTTTATGTTTTGTTGATTTATAAAAGCTGAGAAGAACTGATTGATTTCTTTTTGTTATGTTATTTATCCAATTAAATAATACATCGTGTAGTGTATGCATTTTGACATTTCTCTATACAGGCAACACTGTCTTGTTGCGCACCACGTCAGTAATACGAGAGCTGTGAGCGAGAGTAGAAGTGTCGGTGGTCTGTCCGTTAAGTGCGTGAACGAGCCTGTGATACCCGACTTTAGGACTGGTTCTACAATTGGCGACGAGTGAAAAGGTATGTTAAAATAATGGTAAAAAAGAAAAAGAAGGAAAAGATAGGTACCAAACGTGGATAATTTCGAAGTTAAACCGGCATGTTTTCATGTTCACAGTGTAAAGTTTCAAATTTCGAGGTACCTAGATAAACAGTGTATTTACATGGTAGACTCAATAGATCTATACAATACGACAGAAATATTTTCGTATCGATGTACCCATCAGAATGGCATAAAATAACCTATTATTTGCGAGTATAGAATCAGTCACCTATTTCATAGTATTCTTGTTAAAATGGCAAAGTACCTACCGAATCATATTTTTTATATATCTGTTGAATATATACGGATTAGTTTTTTGAATTGTTTACTATTTGATATTTCCGTTAATTGTGTTTTTCTAAATCTTTCAAATAATCTGTATCTAATTCTAAGCAACTGTGAAGGTTTCTGCGTGCCTAAATCCATTTCGCTCACTAGTTTCTGGAATTGCGATTCTGCACTCTCCTCGTACACGGCTATAAGTCTTCTTTTCAAGGCGTTATACTTCTCTGTAGCCGGTGGTGATTGGATCAGGTCGCTCACTTGCCTGAGCGCCTCTTTATTCAATTTTGCAACAGCCATCTCGAACTTAACGGTGTCTCCCTGTTTTTGTGGTGCCATTATCAATTCAAAATGCGCGAACCTCATTGGTTTTATTTTTGCGAAACCGAGACCGTTACCGCCACATAGATATCAAGCTGTAAAAGAGGAATTTAAAAACATGATGGAATTAGGCATTTGCAGACCTTCAAAAAGTGCGTGGGCCAGCCCGTTGCATGTGATCCCGAAAAAGGATGGGCAGATACGTCCCTGTGGCGATTACAGGCGGTTAAATGCTGTAACCAAACCGGACAGGTACCCTATACCTAGAGTGCAAGGCTTCACTTTTGGTCTGGCAGGTAAGTACATATTTACTAAGATAGATATTAATAGAGCGTATCATAATATCGGTATTAAGTCAGAGGATATCGAGAAAATAGCGATTACGACACCATTTGGTCTTCTTGAATTTGTAAAAATGAGTTTTGAATTGCGTAATGCCGCGCAAACATTTCAGCGTTGGATGAACAATACGGTTCTACAGGGAATAGAAATGTTGAACAGTAATGGTGTGTCCAAACAATGCGCGGCATTCGAGCGCGGCTGCCGCGCGCGGCAGCTGCGCGCTACCCGCCGCACACGCCGATCGCCGCGAACGGTGTTAGTGTTGGTTCGCCAGTGATTGTGTGTGGACGGACGTATCTTGAAAAAATGGATAACGAAACAGCAATTCGTCTTATTGAAATATATGCCTCCCATAGTCCATTATGGGATACTAGACGTAAAGAATATCACAATAATAACGTGAGAGAAGATCTATGGGAAGAAATTGCGAAAAATTTCGTTCAACCAAAAGCAGATTTAAAATTGAAAATGAAAAGTCTTTTGAGTTCTTATAGAAGGGAGAGAAATAGAGAAAAAACAAGCAATATCACTGGTTGTGGTAAGTTTAATCTTATTACATTTTATAATAGTAGGTAATAATAGTTAATAATATTAATAATATAAATATAAGTAGGTAATAATAATAGTTTTACTAGACCTTTCATTTGACATCATAATCATTAAGATATCTCAACAAACAGTAGTGCGAGTAAATAAGACACAAGATCAGCTTATGTATCAGTTATTTTAATAATGTTCTTTTTTCTGTTGCAGGTAGAAACAAGGCCTATAAATCTAAATGGTTTGCTTATGAAGCATTCAGTTTTTTACATGACAGGAATAACCCTATTGATGCAGTGGTAATTACCTATTACTTTAATATTTTTATTAGATTACAGCTTTCCGCCAACGGCTTCGCCCACGTGGTCTGGTTGTTTCTTAATAAATTATAAACTAATGTTACTCGATGAAGATGTAGCTTTGTATCTAATGGTGAAAAAATTTTCGAAACCGGTTGAGTAGTTTTTGAGTTAAATTGTAGGTAACAAAGAAACAAATCTTTCCGCTTTTAAAAATTAGTTTTGATGTATCTATATTAATATTATAAAGCTGAAAAGTTTGTTTGTTTGCTTAAACGCGCTAATCCCAGTAACTACTGGTTCGATTTGAAAAATTCTTTCAGTGTTAGATAGCCCATTTATTGAGGAAAGCTATAGGCTATATATATAAATATATATCATTACCTGAAGCCCACGCGGGCGAAGCTGCGGGCGGAATTACTAGTGATACATACAGCCCGCATTCTACAAAATCTATGAAATCAGATAATGCTAAGGGTTTATTAATTACATTAGGATGATTTTGGCCATTTTTTACCAAACGTTATATAATTAATTAATATCTTTCTTGCCGATCAATTGATCCATTTGTCATAAAATATCTTGACAAAAAAATACGAATATCAGAAGGAGTGTTTTAATAAAGTATCTCTGCGAAGAAAGTTATGCAAGTGAACAGTAGCTAGAACTATGATTTTGGCTGATTTTGGGCTTAAAATCATTGTACTTCTCAAAACTCTAAATTTTGCCGACAAGATTCCAAAAGCATTTTCTACTACTCGGCGTGCTCTTGATAGTCTATAGTTGAAAATCCTTTCTTTTGATCCTTTTGGATGAATTCCTGCAAATGGTGTCATCAAATGTGTGCTTAATGCAAAAGCTTGATCTCCTAATATTACATATGGTACGTTAGTTATGTAGGGTATTTCTAAAATTTGTGGTGCTGGTACATTAAGTTGATTATTTTCTAGCTTTCGATACAATTCGGAATGTTTATAAACTCCTCCGTCTGAAATTCGACCTTGGCTTCCTACGTTAACATACATAAAATTGTAGTTTGAGTCTACTAATGCTAATAGCACGATGCTAAAGAACTTTTTATAATTAAAATATTCAGTGCCGCTACGAAAAGGAGCTTGAATTGTTATGTGTTTTCCATCTAACGCCCCAATGGTGTGTGGAAAATTCCATTTTTCCTCGAAGTCGTTACTTACTGCCTTCCAATCTTGCTCTGATACTGGTAGCTGAAAAAAATAATATTTTAATTATTTTGCTATTTTTGCTTCAGGATTGTGGCTCACCCTCAGAGCCGGGTAATACTGAACAAGCTATTCTGGAACAAGGCATTTCAGAACAAGGCACTTCGGAACCAGGAACTTCGGAACAAGGCACTCGAGGCCAAGATACAAATACTAAGAAGTCGTCAAAAAAAGAAAAGCCAGTGAACAAGAGGACACGCCAAGAGGCAGAGTATGATGCTGAAAATCAAATGATAGAAGAAGCGTTAGAAGTAATACGAAAACAAAATGACAGTAATAATAATGATCCTTACGTTGCTTTTGGCATGCATGTAGCAGCTGAACTAAGAAAATATGATGCCACTATGTTTACGCGAGTTAAACATTCAATAAATACTATACTATACGAAGCTGATATGGAACGGCTCAATCAATTATCAACACAAGAATGTAACGCTGAAAACAGACGAGGATATTTCACTTCACAGTTTACCGATCTTGACTCATCATCTTCTAGTAACATGGATACTGGCCTTACACAATTGATTCACGATTTGGACACCGATGTAAATTAATATTGTGGCTTAGTTGAGAGCAATTGTGATTGATGAATGATGATTGTGTTGTTTTTTAATTATTACTTAATTATGAACAATCTGTATTTTAAAATATTACGCTAAATAATAAAAATAATTTAAGTAATAAAGTTCATATTTACCTGTACCATGTCCTTAAGAGCTCTCACTATGGCATCACACACTTCTGGAATTATTGTTGATATTGTTTGCTTAGATACGTGAAATGTGTATTGTAAGCTGGAATAGGAGTCTCCTGTAGCCAAATATCGTAAAGTTATTGCGAGTCTCTCCTTCGACGTTATTGCAGTGCGCCAGTGAGTATCCATTTTTTTATTAATGGTTCTACCAATGTATGTGTGTGTTCGAATTCTTCCAGAGATAATCTTAAAAACTGTGGCGTTCGGTAGTTGATTTCGTAATAGATCACTTGCAGATTCTTTGTCCTCTGTTGAAAAAGTGGTCGCATCCAACACTGCCTTTTTTAATACACTTTGTTCTATTCCTTCTTCTACGTAATTTACGAATAATAAGCAGAGCCACAACACACGCAGCCGCTTTCATTGTGGTTTGAATACGAAATAAAGAGCGCGGCGTGTCTCGGACATGCCGCGCAGCACTGCCGCGCAGAAGGTCTAAACTAGTCGCGCGGCAAATTTGTGTCCCCCGAATGCCGCGCGTAGCTGCCGCGCACCTTGCACGCCGTGTTTGGACACACCTTAAGAGTAAAAATAGTAATCATTGTTCTGTGTTATTTTGCTATATTGATGACGTAATAATCGCGACAATTACTGTACGTTAGCGAGTTTACGAGCGACATACAGTATGTAAGCAGAAACGATAACGTGGTAGCTGACGCGCTATCGCGCACAGTACAGTCCATTGTTTGTCCTACGAACATTGATTTCGACGAAATCGCCAGGGCACACTAAGCAAAAGTTACAAAGATTACAGTCACCTTTGTGTAGTAGTTCTGTGTACTGTAATATAAACAAAGATTGTGTAAGACCATACATACCAGAGCAATTCAGGAAGTTAGTTTTTGATAAGGTACATAATGTTAGCCACCCAGGAATTAGAAGTACTAGGAAAATGATTACTCAGAAATATTTTTGGCCTAACATGAATAGAGACGTTAATAAATGGAGTAAAGAATGCATATCGTGTCAAAAAGTCAAAGTTCAACGTCATACAGTATCTAAATTAGGGACATTTCCACCCAGTGAGCGTTTCGAGCACGTCCACGTAGACATAGTTGGTCCTTTACCTACTTCAAGCGAGGGATATAGATATTTAGTCACTATGATAGATAGATTTACGCGTTGGCCAGAAGCCATTCCAGTAAACGAGATCACCGCAAAGGTAGTAAGTAAAGCTATTTACGAAAATTGGATATGCAGATTTGGTTGTCCGAAGGAAATTAATAGTGATCAAGGTAGACAATTCGAAAGTGAGCTGTATTCGGCACTTATGAAAATGTTAGGTATTAAAAAAATTCGTACTACAAGTTATCATCCGCAAAGCAATGGAATGATAGAAAGGTTCCACAGATCACTAAGGGCCCTTTTCCTGTCATGCGTTTTTCCATCCGTACGCGGATCTGGTCCGCATGCGTGCCGCCCACAATCTATCATTTCATACATGTTTTTACTATCATGCGGGCAGCCCGCGAGCGGTACGCGGATCGGCTGCGGGCGCGCAGCCCGCGTGCGTTCTAACCGGACGCGGGCGGCGTTCTTCTACTCTCAGTGTTGTTTTTACTGTGACGCGGAACGCACGCATGGTTATAGACGCCAACAAAAATGAAAATTGATACGGAGAGAGTGATAATTGAAGTGCACTTTCGTCCTGCATTGTGGGATAAGCAAAATGCTTTGTATAAAAATCGCGATGCAAGAGCAGCAGCTTGGCTAGAAATTTGCCAAGAAATAATTCCAGATTTCGACAGTCTTACTAAGGCCGAACAGAAAGATTTTGGTGAGTGTTATACATTTAATTATTTTTAT